AACTAGGGGGGCGCTAGTGTAGCGGCTATGAATGTTAGTTCAAACTAACGTCCATTAGTTCGAACTAACATTGTAGTGTAGACATACCCTCTCTTATTAAGACAGAAGGCGAGTACCAGACAATGAGGAGACGGAGAGTTTTCTTATCAGTTTCTTAAGCAAGCTGTTCAGCTCAGCAAGTACAAAAATGCAGCTGTTCGCTTGTCTCATGTCCTTACTCAACTCATGTCTCAAATTTTGTTCAGGGACTACCCAGAACCCTTTGCTGACTCTTCTCCGTCTGTCTTAGCATAATCGCCCTAGGCCCAATTTTCTGTGGCCTAACAGAAGTAACAGAGGTAGGGCCTCAAAGGGAAGACGATCCTTGTACAAATTGCACAAGCAACTTTTTCCTTATATGTACTCCTTCCTCCCCTACACTTCCACTCCAGTTCATCTGATGAAGTGGGTTTTACCCATGAAAGCCAATGTCCTAATAAATCTGTTAGCCTCTTAATGTGCCGCAGGACTCCTTGTTGTTTTTGAAGACACAGACTAACACAGCTACCTCTCTGAGATGTTTCACCTAACATAAAGCTCTGTCTCCTATTCTTCACGGGGTTTTCCTGTATTCAGAGGTGTCCTGGCCTGTGTAGGATGAATGTACCCTCACCTCTTCTGATGGCCCCTCAGGTGCCTAGTTCTAGCCATAATACTTCTCCATGTCTTCCAGTAGTCCCTGAACATCTCACCAGCATTAATCCACTTATCCTCAGTATTATCTCCATTGTACACATGGGGAAACTGAGGCACAAGCAAGGCCATGGGGCCTACAAGGAGTCTGTGTTGTGCAGGAACGTGATCCCAGAGCTTCTGTGTCTCAGGGTCATGCCTTCACCTCAGGGCTATCTTCCCTCTCTGGCTGAACGCAGATGGTAACTGGGCAGCTGTGTAGGAGATTGTGTTGGTGTTACATCTCTGAAGCACTCTCAGGTGCGGTCCCGTGAGCCACATGACAAACATTCCCTTTGAAACCAGGGTCTTAATTTGCTGATCTAGGAAACACTGGGAAAAGTCACCACTGTAATTAACCCCAGGGGGCAGTGCAGGAGAAGTGATATAGCCCTGGACAAGGGACAAGGCCTACAACAGTGTTTCTCAACGAGTGGTACGGGTCCCCGTAGGGGTAATCGAGAGAAGTCTGGGAGGGACGTCAATACAACTGAAATTTGGAGAAAACTGAATTTTTGTTGTAAGTTTTACAGCACTTTATTATTTTTGTACTTTTTACACCCAAAAATTTAATCGCCCACCCGGCTATCATTAAGTTGTTTAAACAAATGTGTTGCAATGGTAGCAAAAAAAATTGTGTGTCTGAAAACTGTAGGTACTGGGGACACTTATAATTTTTAAGGGGGGTACTTTATTACAAAAAAGGTTGAGAAACACTGGCCAAAAACATTATTTCAAGACGAGAAAATGCTCAGCAAGTCGCTATGCCCGGGACAGGAGAAGGCAAGGAAAGAAGAACAGCAGACACCCTAAGGCAGCCAAGGAATGTCCATGAAGAAAGACACACTACTCCAACAAGAATGGAAGGTAAATAACCCCTCCCACTCTAACAGGAGCCTTTGGGTATCCAAAGCAGCACAATTCAGGCAAGACCCAGCCTGTGAAAGGGATTTATGCAAAATACAAGCGGCAAGATTTTCAAAGGAATGTTTGCACCTCTTGTGTTGCTCAGAAGCATCTCAGCATCCGAGCTCAGCCATGTCCCCGGCTATTAGCGAGTGAGATGTAATTGTAGATCCTGTGTGGTACCCAGATACCATGGGAATTCTGAGCCTCAGCTCATTTCACTTATAACTCTCAATTATTTGCCTAGGAGTGGGCACGGCACCCGCTTAGGCATCGTTCCTGAGACTTGTAATGGTATTTCAATACTGAGGCTACGTCTAGACTGACATGATCTTGCTTTTGCGCAAAAGCATCCGTGGCCAGTCTAGACGCGATTTTGCGCAAGATAGCTCCAGTGGCCATTTTCACCATCGGGGCTTTTTTGCGCAAAACAGTCCTCCCCTGTCTACACTGGCTCTCTTGCGCAAATACATTTGCTCAAGAGGGCTTATCCCTGAGCGGGAGCGTCAGTGTATTTGTGCAAGAACACTGACAATCTTACATTGGATCGTCAGTGCTCTTGCGCAAATTCAAGCGGCCAGTGTAGACAGCTGGCAAGTTTTTGCGCAAAATCTTGCCAGTCTAGACGCAGCTTGAGTGTCTTTGACTTATGCTGGGAATTGTGTGACTAAATCGTTTAGTGACTTGGAAAATGTTGACCTCTTGTCCTGCTCTGACTTCACCTGAATGCTGCTATTTCCAAAGGGATCGATCTCCCTGGGATGTGAGTGTTTACATTTTTGGGGAACCCTCAGCAGGTATACATGGCAAGTGAAAAACAATCCCACTGACTGTAAGAAATTGCCTTCTTCTTGAATCCCCAGAGTGGGCATCTTTGCTTCTGTGCTTATCTGAATTGAATATGTTGTATTTATTCTGTGAGCCTTTGGCAGGTCCCCTAACCCCACTGCTTGGCCAGAGAGAGGTTGGTGCTGTGTTAGACCCACAGACAGGCAATCACATACTCACTGAATGGTGCAGCGGTACCTGACATCCGTCCTTGGCATTGCTACACAAAAGCTCCTTCACACCTGCTCAGTGAAGGTCTTATCTCCCTATGGGAGACGAACAGTCCACCTGGTTTTGTGGGCTTCAGTCCCTCATCTTTGTCCCTTGATGGGGCTGTTGGCTTTTTAGAGCATGGCCTGGCCCTTGCACTGCTATAGAAACAAGGCGGGCGAGGGAATATCTTTCATTGCCTCTGCTGGTGAAAGAGACAAGCTTGAGACCTTGCACCACGTCGTTCCAATGCCTCACACGTGTGTCTTTCTCCAGCAGCCAACACAAAGAGACTCACAAACCTTTTTACCAGCAAGTGTCAGTACACCTGACTCCCTGTGCACACCCAAACCGATGACAACCCCTCCAGTGCTCCAAGTAGAACCTCAGAGTTGCAAACATTTGGGAAGGGAGGTTGCTCGTAGAATCATATAATCACAGGGCTAGAAGAGACCTCAGGAGGTCATGAAGTCCAGCCCCCTGCCCTAGGAAGGACCAATCCCTTTTTACCAGCAAGTGTCAGTACACCTGACTCCCTGTGCACACCCAAACCGATGACAACCCCTCCAGTGCTCCAAGTAGAACCTCAGAGTTGCAAACATTTGGGAAGGGAGGTTGCTCGTAGAATCATATAATCACAGGGCTAGAAGAGACCTCAGGAGGTCATGAAGTCCAGCCCCCTGCCCTAGGAAGGACCAATCCCAGCTAAATCAACCCAGACAGGGCTTTGTCAAGCCGAGACTTAAAAACCTCTAAGGATGGAGAAAAAATGCTACTTTTAACCACCAGAATTTAACTGAAACAAGCACAGACACAATTTCCTTGTTGAGTCTGCTTGATAAATATCCCTTTATTTTTAAGCAGTTCACATTTCAAGGAATCATAGAACACTAGGACTGGAAGGTCATCGAGTCCAGTCCCCTGCCCTCATGGCAGGACCCAGTATTGTCTAGACCATTCCTGATAGACATTTATCTAACCTGCTCTTAAATATCTCCAGAGATGGGGATTCCACACCCTCCCTAGGAAATGTATTCCAGTGTTTAACCACCCTGACAGTTAGAAACTTTTTCGTAATGTCCAACCTAAACCTCCCTTGCTGCAATTTAAGCCCACTGCTTCTTGTTCTATCCTCAGAGGCCAAAATGAACAAGTTTTCTCCCTCCTCCTTGTGACACCATTTTAGATACCTGATAACTGCTGTCATGTGCCCCCTCAGTCTCCTCTTTTCCAAACTAAAAAAACCCAATTCTTTCAGTCTTCCTTCATAGGTCATGTTCTCTAGACCTTTAATAATTCTTGCTGCTCTTCTCTGGACCCTCTCCAATTTCTTCACATATTTCTTGAAATGCAGTGCCCAGAACTGAACACAATACTCCACCTGAGGCCTAACCAACACAGAGTAAAGGAGAAGAATGACTTCTCGTGTCTTGCTCACAACACTCCTGTTAATGCATCCCACAGTCATGTTTGCATTTTTTGCAACAGCATCACGTTGTTGACTCATGTTTATCTTGTGATCCACTCTGACCCCTAGTTCCCTTTCTGCAGTGCTCCTTCCTAGACAAAGCGACAAGGAGTCACGTGGCAACTTATAGACTCTTGGACAGATGTCTTGGAGCATAAGATTTCGTGGGCAAAGACTCACTTCATCAAATGCCACATCTATTAGTCTATAAGGTGCCACAGGACTCCTTGTTGCTTTTGCAGATCCAGACTAACACGACTACCCCTCTGATACCTCCCTAGACAGTCGCTTCCCATTCTGCATGTGTGAAACGGATTTTTCCTTCCTAAGTGGAGCACTTTGCATTTGTCCTTATAAACTTCATCCTATTTACCTCAGACCATTTCTCCAATTTGTCCAGATCATTTTGAATTATGACCCTGCCCTCCAAAGCACTTGCAATCCCTCCCAGCTTGGTATCATCTGCAAGTTTAATAAGCGTCCTCTCTATGCCAATATCTAAATCGTTGATGAAGAGACTCCTGTGGAACCCCACTTGTTATACCTTTCCAGCAGGATTATGAACCATTAATAACTACTCTCTGAGAATGGTTATCCAGCTAGTTATGCACTCATAAGAACATAAGAACATAACATAAGAACATCAGAACATAAGAACGGCTGTACTGGGTCAGACCAAAGGTCCTTCTAGCCCAGTATCCTGTCTGCCGACAGTGGCCAGCACCAGGTGCCCCAGAGAGGGGGACCGAAGACAATGATCAAGCCATTTGTCTCCTGCCATCCCTCTCCAGCCTCTGACAAACAGAGGCCAGGGACACCATTTTATCCCCTGGCTAATAGCCTTTTATGAACCTAACCTCCATTAAATTATCTAGCTTCTCTTTAAACTCTATAATAGTCCTAGCCTTCACAGCCTCCTCTGTTCCACAGCTTAACTACACGCTGTGTGAAGAAGAACTTTCTTTTATTAGTTTTAAACCTGCTACCCATTAATTTCATTTGGTGTCCTCTAGTTCTTCTATTTAGGGAACTAATAAATAACTTTTCTTTATGCACCCTCTCCACACCACTCATGATTTTATAGACCTCTATCATATCCCCC